GGCTGAAGTGAAGGAGGACCAGGCTGAAGTGAAGGAGGACCAGGCTGAAGTGAAGGAGGACCAGGCTACAGTGAAGGAAGACCAGGCTACAGTGAAGGAGAAGCAGGCTACAGTGAAGAAGGATCAGGATACAGTGAAAGAGGACAAGGATATAGTGAAGGAAGACCAGGCTGCAGTGAAGGAAGACCAGGCTGTAGTGAAGGAGGACCAGGATACAGCAAAGGAAAGTGACAACTCTGTTGAGAAGAGTGAGCCCTTGACAGAGCCCACACTTGACACGGAGGAACGTACAGAGTGCACCGTTCAGTTGGAGATAACTGATTCAGAGACAGCTCATGAAATAGCCCAGGACAAACTACAGGAAGGGAGCCTACCCCAAACCACAGATGATGTGGAGAGCAGGGAAGCTCCCAAAGCACCTGTTTCGGAGGATCAACCCAACAGTGCCCCTGAAACCACCGAGCTGCAGGAAATCCCCAATATCTGCACAGAGCTGCCTGAAGGGGATGAATCAGAGAAGAGCATAAATCTTCCCAAGGAGTGCAAAGCTGAGGAGACTGTATCAGAGTTCAGCGAGTCAGCATCCAGAGACAATGGAGCGAGTGTGCAGGAATGCTCCAGCCATCAGGTGACATCAGAGGCAAACGTAGGCACCGGCATCGGCGTCGGCATCGTCATCACCATCACTGAAGCTGAGGACTCTGACAACACCGACTCTGACCAGGCCTACGAGCCGTCCCCAGTTCTGCACCAAAATAAGCAAAAAGGGAATAAAAAATCCAACCGGAATGCTGATGTTGGTAAAAAAGAGGGCCCTGAGGCTGGTGGCGGTCCCCAGGCAGAGGACAAAGGTCTGGGCGACCAGGGGCACAGAACTGGGGAGCAGTATGAATTGCTCCTCATAGAAACTGCCTCTTCCCTTGTGAAGGCAGCCATTCAGTCGTCCATAGAGCAGCTGGTCAATGAAATGGCCCTGGAACAGAATAAACACAACAGCTTTCTGTGATGGCAGCTTTGCCCCCAAGAGGAAGAGCAGAGGGAGTGATTTAAAGCTCCATTGGCCTGGGGGTGTGTGTGGAGAGCTCAGAGGGCTCCCAGGGCCAAGGTGTAGTTAATTCTGCATGCCCATTCAGTTGTGTGTCTATGTGAAATGGCTCCTGGGATGTGGGCAGACCCTGCTACATACACTGTGTCCCCTGGGGCCTCAGACAACACCATTGACTGCAGCTGAAAAAATGAAGGTGTTACAGTGACTGTATTTTCATTTATTGGCATATTTATGTCAAGGCTGCATTTCTGCCACCACCCATGCCAGCTTCCCCCACTGTTCATGCTGTAGATCTGTATATACCAGGTGTTTAAAGAAAGGTCCTGAGAGGCAGCGAGTGCCCAACCTGCTGCTGGGCAGGATTCGGAGGCACGCTGGAACAGCTGGAGGTTTGCCTGGGGTGTGTTGGAGATGAAGGAGAGCAAAGCAACTGCAGTGTTAACATGAAGACATCACTGTCAGAAGGGCTCAGGCCAGTGTTTAGTGTTGTGAACTGTAGGCATTTGCTACCTACAGGCGCCAGGAGCCGCGGTCACCGTTGCTGTCACATCGTATGAAGCCGGCGGGTTTGCAGCGAGCAGTGTTCTGTGTTCTTCATTCGGCCTCTCCCCCTGCCACGAGCAGCCTGTGCGTCTCCAGACATGTTAAAGTACAGCATCAGCTGCTCGCCTTGCTGATCCCGGGCTGCAGAAATGCCACGAAAGCGACAGCACTTCCAGGAGGGCCTGTTCTTGCACCATTAAGCTCAACGGGCAAAAACTCCCTGCAGCATCACTGGCGTGGGCTGGGCGGGAGCAGTGCCTGCTGCAGGCAGCCTCTTTCCTCTCCCCTCCCTGGCCGTCCTCCCTCCCAATCCTGGTGTCGTGGTGAAGCTGTCCTCAGATGTAGCATATTTTTTTATATATATGGCATGTGATATAAATAGCAGTGAGCTGCATGCGTGTTAGCAGTCAGCATAGTTTGGGTAGCTGCAATGTTCTGCCAGCACTGGAATTGCTTTGATTTGGTCTGGGCACTGCTGGCGTCCCTGGGTGCTGGCGGCAGCCATCCTGCACCGCTCCCCGCTCACCACAAAGCCCGCCTGCCTTCATCCCAGCCCAGGCATCCCTTGGGAAACGTGCATTATGCCCGGCTCACTGCCACCGGGATCCGGCCGGCTCTGGCACGCCATGTAGCTCGCCCTGAAACATGCAGTGAAATGCTGGAGTGATATTACTGAAGTCCTCAGGGAAAAAATCTAGACATGGGGCCTGAGGACATGGCTGGAAAATGCCTGGACAAGCCCATTGCCATCAAAACCCATGAACTGCCCTGCTCCGAGAGGGTTTGCACCGGCATGGCGTGTGTGTGCGAGCACCGCCTCCCACTACAAGCCCTCCGAGAGAAAGGGGCCTTTTAATAATTTGGGATTGTGTCTGCATGGCTGGGATTTATGTCCAGCTGTGGGCAAGGCAGTGTGTTCCTCTGAGAAAATTCTCCTGTGTATTTCTCAGCCGCTACAGAAATAGCAGCCGCGACTGGCACTTGCTCACTGACCATGGGCGGTGCGCTGAGATTTCCCTTCCCAGTGTAGGATTTGGATTCCTGCTAAAATACAAGGGCTGTACATGTCCCTAGTACCTGGTGCACAACCACATTTCAAACCTTGATAAAGCATCTCTGTTGTTACGAGAGGACTGTGAGCAGCGAGAGCCACGGCTCATTTCTGTGCGAGTAAAACTTAAGAAAAATCAGAGGATGTTAAAAAAAAAAAAGTGTCTTCTTTTTCTTCTGTGTACTTATTTATTAAGTTATCAGATATCGATAATTCAATGTGTACAATTTTAATGGCTTTGTACTTCCTACTGGTCCTTCCACGTATTTCGCCATAGTTTTGAAAGGGACTTTTAAAGGACTTTTAGATGTACCTTTGGAGCTGCTGCAGCACCCAAGAAGAGCCATACTGATATTGGGGGTTGCTTATGGAATTATACCGGGCACTGTGGCAGGTCGGGGCTGAGCAAAGGGCTGCTGTGCAGCCCTGCTGGGGTTGGCTGTAGAGGAGGATGTCCAAGTTCTAGTAAATAAACAGAAAAAGACCCCGTGGGGCCAGGCTGTCATCTTCTGTCAGCCCACTAAGCGGTTTCAGTATTGCCTTTTAGGCGAAACATGTCTTCAAAAGAGGAGGAGAATGGCAGAAATGCTTTGGTCCAGCCCTGCCCTGAGACTGTTGCTCTGTGCCCAGGGTTGTGTTTGCATCCTCTCTGTAGCTGGTTTTCTCTCTGTTATAGGTGTACATAGAACTGATGATTATTTCATTAAAGCTGAATGTACCTGTTGTTTTCTTGCCTTGTGATTGAGTGGGCAGCTGTGGAGAGATTTTATATGTGACGGGATTAACTCATGCTGGTGCCCTATTGTGTCCAGCTTTTTCAGGAAGCCGTAGAGTGAGCAGAAAGAAATCCTTAAGTTGGTGGCAGACACAAATTCTTTGGAGGCTTGCTCTTTCTCTGCTCTTTCTGCAACCTTTCCTTCTGGTTGCTGGCTAATCATTTCTACTGCAGAGCCTTGGCTGCCCAGGGACTGCTATAAGGAATTTGTGAGGGATCACAAATCTCTAGCAGCTAAGAAAAGCCATCCTGCTGTCCCATGGGTAAATTCCCTGTTAGATGCCCTGTAGTGCCAGAGGAAAATGTTTGAGGCTCTGCAGACTGACAGGGGTCAAACCCCACTGCCCATGAAATAGCACAGCTCTTGCTGATCCCGCACAGGTGGTTTGGTTTTCTCTGCGAGCCACTGGTTCATGATTCCTGCTCCCAAGGCTTGAGATTGCTGTTCCCAGATGCACAGTTTGGTGCTGATGGGGTCTATTAGAGGGACAGGACCTCGGGAGGGGAAGCAGCAAGTTTAGTGTATCAGCATTTTCTGTGATGGCTCAAATGGACCGCGCATCCTAATTTATTTTTTTGCATAACATCTTCCATGTAATTTCTTTAGACACTACAGCATTCAGATAATATGGGGGGAAGAGGTAATACATATTTAATAGTATTAATACTATTTATTCTTTCAGGTTTACAGAACAAAATATAGGCTCATAACAGCCACTAATGACTTAATTAAGACTCCCTACTCCTTCCTTGTGATTAGGGAGTAGAACATGAATAAAACATTTATTCTTTTGGAGAAGGAATGATAAATTTACTATTGTAAAGGAGTACTGGGCCAGGAAACCTGTGAAGATGTGGCTGTGTGGTTGTGCCAGAGCACCAAAGGGTGGCCTGGGTTTAAGACTGTGTTCTTTGCCAACAGCTGAAATAAACTGGAATAAACACAAAATCATAAAATCATTTAGGTTGGAAATGACCTCTAAGATCCCCAAGTCCCACTGTTAATCCAGTACTGCCAAGGCTGCCATGTCCCCAAGTGCCACATCCACATGTCTTTTAAATACCTTCAGGGATGGTGACTCCACCACTTCCCTGGGCAGCCTGTTCCAATGCTTGGCAATCCTCTCAGGGATGAAACTTTTCCTGATATCCAATCATTTTTATAGCCCCATTCAGATTGCTTTTGAGCTGTCTGGCTCCTTATCAATACAAGAAATTCATTGCTTACTGCTCTCTGAATTATGGAAGTTGTTCTTCTGCTCACCCCACAGACTGTGCTGCTGCTTTTGTCCCAGATGTTTCCAGCGCTCTCCTCACAGCAGGGACAATTTGGCTTTATATTCAACAAGTTCTCTATCCCTGCTTTGGCTGTGTCATTTTGAATGTTTTCATCTCCCACAGCTTTTTTATATTAGCAGCAAAGAAAAGAGTGTTTAAATAGTATAACTCTTGCCCAGAAAGGCTTCCAGGGGGATAAAAAGCTTTTCTGTTATGTCAACACTGAGCTCAGAAGAAAGCAAGCGTATCCACTGAAAGGTTCCTTGTGGAAATTGCTGGTAGACAATGATGGCACAAACAAATACTGTGTTTTCTTTCCTGCCCTGGGACACCCAAAGTGCATTAGAAATGCACAGGGCTGGATCTCCAGCTGCTGGAGGTCACGGCAGCTCTGTAACGCTTCAAAGGACCAACTCTCCCATAGCCAGGAACCTACTGTTTGAATCCAAGATGCAATCCCTGCATAAATGATGGACATTCTCATATGTGTCCTTATGTATAAATGAAAATCCAGTTGTAGGTTTTGTTGGTTTTTGGTTTGGTTTTTGAGGGTTTTGTTGGTTTGGTTTTTGGTTTTTTTTTTCCCACAAATGTATGTAAGAAATTGAGTAAACTCATGAAATACACAGAAATCCTGGTCAGCACTTGGGATGGATGGATAGATGGATGGATGGATGGATGGATAGATGGATGGATGGATAGATGGATGGATGGATGGATGGATGGATGGATGGAAGCCAGACCCTGCTGACAGACTCATGTGTTAGGGCAATGAAGCCCTAATACTGCCTGTCTTACAGCTAGAAGCTTTCAACATGAGTAACTCAAAATGACGAAGTGCTCCAAGAAAACAGATTGATTTAAATAATTGCTTTAATATGATTTTACCTCTGCAGTTCTATTTCCCAGAGAAATGGTTCGTGTTAGCTCTTGTTGCGTGGTATTAAAATAATGAAATATTTCCATTTGCAAACAGATAAAATCTTAACATTAAATATGATTTAAAAAAAAACACAAATCAATCAGAGGATGTTATTTTTTACACAGTTATTTAAGCAACAATATAGGTTAACATTTTTTAGGAGGCACAGCTTTCATGTGTCTTTCTTTTTGCAGAAAATTGCGAAGAGTGCAGTTCTTCCTTGCCAAATTATGGGATGCTGCTGTGGGGTCAAAGTCCTTTTAGCTGAAAAGTGGGTTTCAGCAAAAATACCCAAACCCAGCATTTTAAAATAGGATTTTTTTTATATAAAAACTGACAAACAGGCTGATTACAAAAGGGAGGGAGACGTTAGGAAAACACATTTTGCAATTCAGATTGCCAAGATGAAAGTATCTGGCTGGCAGTCACCCTGTCAGTCCCTAAGTTAGACCTCGCAGAGATCAGTCTTCCAAACCTCTTTAATCTGGAGGAGGTGACATCCCCCCACCAAGGTGGGTGCCCCAGCTGGGTCCCTTCTGCAGGTACCGGTGTCCTTTCAGGTGGTGCCTTTCCCGTGCCAAGTCCCGGCATGGGACACACTGTGCATGGACACACTGAGCACCACTTTGCCGCTGTCCCCGAGAGAAAATTTAAATCTGGAGAGGGATGTCACCTCCGTGCTCGAACACCAGTCGCTCGTGTCACATTCGCTCTCTCCATTTGCCGTTTCAGTGAAGACACGAGGCTGAGGAGCCGATGCGTCAAGGCTCGGTGCTGTGAGAGCTCCGCGTGACGGGAGACTGGTGAGATGGCAGCTGGGTGGGAAGCGCAAGTACTCCGACTCCTACGGAGCTCCTGAGCATCCCCACAGGGAGGGAAGGAGGAGCAGCGCATCCCCTCGCTGCTGCCGGCAGCCTCAGCCGCTCGCTCTCTGCCTGCCAAATGCTCCCAGACTGCTGCTGCACGAAGGCGTCGGGCCCTGGCGCAGCCCAGACAGCCTGTAGGTGAATTTGCATCCCATTTGCTAGCTGGAGCAAGGCGGGGAAGGCCGAGGCGCTGGAAGCTTCTCGTCCCGCATCTCCCCTGGAGCGTGTGGAGCAGCCGTGAGGCCGCGGGCTGGGGGGTGTGCAACAGGCACAACAGGAACGCACAGCTGCACCCCGCTCATTAGGGCGGTGAGTCAGAGCCTCACGACCGCACCGCGGGGGTAAAAACAGGCTGGCAGGGGATGCTCGGCCCTAATGACAGGCCTGGGTGCCTGCTCTGCTGGCTCCGGCGGTGCTGCGGGGCGGCGGGGGTGACCGCAGCCGGAGCGGGTCCCTGCCGGGGTGGCTGCGGGGACAGGGGTGACGCTGAGCATCAGCCTCCGCCCCCGGCGCTCTCGGTCGGAGCCTGGCGAAGCTGCACGCCCACCGCTGGATCCCTGTCTTGGTGGCTGACACCACGGCCCTGCCTGCCAGGGGGTTCTTCTCCTACATCCATCACTCCCGATGCCTCATAGCACTGGTTTCCCTGTCCTGGTGCCTACATCCTGAAAATGGTGGGTTGCAAATCCAGCACCAGGAGGGACAGAGACCTTTATACAGTGTTTTCTTAGGCTGTTTGTCCCAGTAACAGGAGGATTCACGTGGACTAAACATTGCCTGGTTGCTGCATTGCCCTATGCATCGCGGGAGGTACACCCAGCCATGGGCTGCTGTGCTGCCTGGAACCCCACAAGACTTTCCATGGGCATCTCAGCTGAGGTGAAACCCAGCCTAATGTAGCAGAGAAGGCTGTAGAGCTTTGCTGCGCCATTGTTCAGAGGGTGCAGCCTCTGGTTTGGAATAGTTAGTGGAAACATTTCCTCTGGTAGGCTCTTTTGAAGTTGTGTCATTACTGTGTCCTAATGAAACATGCAAATCCTGTAGGTGCTGCGATTGCATCTCAGGGAACTCAGTCCTGACACAGCTCTGGTTGTAAATATTTAACTGGCATATAATTTAGGGCACATCCATCCTCATTACCTTTTTACTCCCAATTTCTAATTGCTCAGAATATATTTTCCTAGTGCTGCAAAGCCTGCTCAGTTGCAGCCCTTTTTGGCAACCCTAGACAAGAGGGGAAAAGGAAAGGCTGAGTTTTATTAAACAGGGAATCTGAAGATCGTGGTAGTGATATGGCACAATCTGTGGGAGGTCTTTGACAAGCCAAGAGGAAACCTCCTGCCTTGGCCACTGACAGCCCATGGTCCCATTCAATGATGCTGAATTGCATATGCTGAGGTCACTTTTCACTGCACTTCTGAAGGTGTCACTTACACAGGATTAATACTTTCTGCCTCCAAAATAGTAGAAAACTGTTCAGTATCAGCATTACACTAAAGAGTAATGAAAATGAGAGCTCACAATAGCAGTACTTCATAGTCTTATTTTTAACTGCAGTGCTCACTGCTTCAGGTTTACATCCCAACAGCAAATTTCCTTTCCCTGTTCCACCTCCTCAGTGTGCACAAACATCCCAAACCCCTCTGGCAAGGGGCACTGCACCCACAGAGGGCATGCCAGCCCTTCCACACCCCCTGCACGCTGCCTTCACCCGACTCTGCAGTGATTTGACAGACAACATGTGAGTGAAGAGCCTGCCCGAAGGGCTGCTGCAGCCAGATGGCAGGAGACACGTGTTTTACCCACAGTCTGTGCAGGAGGTAAAAGGAGCTGAAGGATTCTTTATCCTGCATGGAGTTGGGGTGAACATGGCCTGGCCATCA